ATATTTTTGCGTAACTGAGACTCTATACTTAACGGCAAAATTAAGAAGTGCGTTTGCCATAACATTGTTCGGTTTTGAAATGTGTAACCGTTTGAGTAAATTATGATAGTTAGATTTTCTCTCAAGCAGTGCCTTACTAAATAATCTATTAAACAAGAAACAAAAATAGAAGTCTGCAAACTGCACTTCTGTAGAGCAGTAACAAGTAGCTTGATGAGTTGTAGTGTTATACATGGTAAAGTTTTGGCATCCCAACTTTGTTTTGAAGTATATTTTAGTGGCATTTAGTGAAGGTGCTACTTTTACCGCTTACAAGTCCATACAGAGCATATTACATTTTCTCTTATGAGTAATTACTAGTTAAATGGGAATAAGCCACAAAAAAGGTTAAAGTACGTTTATTAACGTTTCAATTTCCACTTCGGAAATCGTTTATTTGTATGAGCTTTAGCCTTATCTTCACGTTCTTTATTTCGAGCACTATTTTTCTCTTCAACATGTTTATTCCATACCGCTTCGTCGATATTATTTTGTTTGTGTTTAATGCATCAGTCGCAACGATCTTTTTTTGGGGGAAAATAAGGCAAGATTCATATCCGTAAACACTTGTTTAAATTTCTTGATGCCCACGAATTTTACAGGTTTTTCTTTGCAAACCGTAACATAAAGATTATGCAACTCTTTTATTGTTGTAAATTCTTGTTTCAAATATAGTTTGTTTGTATCTTTTCTAACATAGTGTGAAGGTTGTTTGTTTTGGTAGATTCTCAAAAAATATTTTTAAGTTTCTGTTACTCTCTTCAAAATCATTTACTCTATACTTTTTGTGTTTTCTGTTTATATTCATTTAAGATTGTGATTCAGTAGTTCTGACTACACTATTTTTCAACTAACTCTCTACTGTAAAACGTCCTAAACCAGTGGTACTTAAAAACATATTACTACAAACTTGCACTAAACTATTACCATTATGCAACCTATAGATTATTGTGTTTCCGCGTTTGCTTTCTTCTGCCTCTGTCATCTTTCTTGAAGGTGGTTGGAGACTAACATGTTTTGAGACAAATACTTTTCTTTGGTCCCTAGTCATATTCTTTCAGAACCTGGTAAATAGTTCACTAAAAGTATTACAAAACCTCTTTTTGGATTTTAAACACATTTTTGAGACACACCTTTCTCTTTTAACTTGAGCTGGACGGGGAACATTTTGTTTGAAGATCTTATTTTTATCACGAGAAAACCCTAAATACACCTCTTCTTTCATTCTTAGTTTTTGGTTTTTTACTCTTTTCCACTCATCTGGGTCATCTTTATGTTTTCTTTTTCGACCTTCAGTCATATCGCTCACTCAGGTTTTTCTGAATTAGAAACTGATGTTTTAACTACATTTCTGCTTTCTAAACTAGTACAAGGATCTGCGATTTTTTGTCTGTTTTAAAACAGAATTATCTTGTTGAATTATCAAATCACCGTCCTGATTGGAAGTCCATAGTTCATTCCTTCGTCCATTATTGGTCACTATTACTATTGAAATATTTTCTATGTCTACATTGCTAAAATCTGTTAAGTTTTGAGTATTCTCATTTTCAAATATTTCATTCTTATGGAGCCAAGAAATACCTTTTTCATTGACTTGTACCGTGGTTTGATTGGAAATAACATCAGTTACTTTTTCGTCTTGATTTTGTGTATAGATAGGGTTTGATAACACATTGCAGTTAGTCGGAGTAATATTTTGTGGTTACTCACAAGACTCTTATAATGAGCCTTTGATAGCAGAGTTGTATATTTTTTGTGCTCTTCACAGCGTGGTAGGTATTATCCTAAAATAAATAAAACTGTAATTGTAACAATAAAACACTGAAAACTTTGTTTTCAAACTTCCACAAAATTTATTTTAAATCTTATCACTACAGCTGTTTCGGCTGATTGCCTTTCTCAAGTGATATATTTTTGGCTTGGGTTTACAAATTTATAGCCTCTAATGAAATAGGTTGAGGAGGGGAGAACTGTTTGTCTCAAGTTGGTCATTCAGAATTATATCTGTGTTTTTTAATTTGTTGATTTCCATAGATTCTAACAAAGATAGCTTAAGGCCTTTATTTTGAATGTGAAGAATTTTAAATTTGTCATTAAAAGAATGATTATGATCTAGAAGGTGAAGTGCGTATGTCGAATCTGTTTTTCTATTCTTGAAAGCCCTTTTATGTTCTGCTATTCGTTTATCAAAGTTTCTACCAGTTTGACCGATGTAAGTTTTTGGGCATTCGCCACATTGAAGTTTTGTACACACCACTATTTAAGTGTTTTTTATTTTGGCTTTTGTTATTTTTAATATATTTGCCTAGGTTGTTATTTGTTCGGAAAACTGGTGTTATTCCTTTCTTTTTTATGTGTTTGGCAATTTTTGTTGTTATTTTGCCTGTATATGTAATCGAGCAGAAGGTACTGGGTTTTTTCTCTGGTGCTGGAAACACTAATTTCAGGGCTTTCTTGTGTAGTTTTTGATTAAACATTTTATTAATTGTTTGTTCGTTGTATCCGTTGTTTACTGCTATTTGCTTAATTATATTTAATTCTGTCTCAAAGTTGTATTTTGACATCGAAATTTCTGTTAATCTATGTAACATACTATGATAAGCTGCTAGATTATGTTGTGTTGAATGGGATGATGAATTGTGTATAGTCGTGTCAGTATGGGTAGGTTTATGAAATATGGAGAAGTTATGTTTGTTTTGAAGTCTGCTAATTTTTAAATCTAAAAAATTTATGGATTGATTTTGTTCTGTTTCTATTGTAAATTCAGCATGACTATAAAGTGAATTAATATACGATAAAAATTGGTCAAGTTGCCTGTTAGTTCCTGTGAAACATACCAGTACGTCGTCTACGTATCTTCACCAATATAAAAACTGTTTGAATATGGGATGTTTTGAAATCTTTGTCTCTAGATGATCCATAAAAATATCTGATAGTCCTGGTTTATGCAAACTTCAAGAAGATGTAAAATTTCAGATGTAATTATTGGATTTGTACTATTTTGGTCCAAAAGGTTTTTTACTAGAATAAAAGTTTCTGTAGGAGGGATACTAGGAAAAAGATTTTTTACGTCAAATGAAATTAATCTGGAGTTGTTATGTAATTGAAAATGTTGTATTTTATTAACTAGTTCTATTGTATTTTTTATGGTAAATTTAGGTGAATTTAGAGATTATTTTAGAACATACTTTATCGTATTATAATTCACTTCATAGTCATATTGAATTTACAATAGAAACAGAACAAAATCAATCCATAAATATTTTAGATTTAAAAATTAGCAGACTTCAAAACAAACATGACTTCTCCATATTTCATAAACCTACCCATACTGACACGACTATACACAATTCATTACCCCATCCAACACAACATAAACTGGCAGCTTTTCATAGTATGTTACATGGATTAACAGAAATTCCGATGTCAAAATACAACTTTGAGACATAATTAAATATAATTAAGCAAATAGCAGTAATCAACGGATACAACGAACAAACAATTAATAAAATGTTAAATCAAAAACTACACAAGAAAGCCCTGAAATTAGTATTTCAGGGCTTTCAGAAAATACCAGAAAAAAAAAACCTAGTACCTTCTGCTCAATTACATATACAGGCAAAATAACAACAAAAATTGCCAAACACATAAAAAAGAAAGGAATAACACCAGCTTTCCGAACAAATAACAACCTAGACAAATATATTAAAAATAACAAAAGCCAAAATAAAAAACACTTAAATAGTGGTGTGTACAAACTTCAATGTGGCGACTGCCCAAAAACTTACATCGGTCAAACTGGTACAAACTTTGATAAACGAATAGCAGAACATTAAAGGGCTTTCAAGAATAGAAAAACAGATTCGACATACGCACTTCACCTTCTAGATCATAATCATTCTTTTAATGACAAATTTAAAATTCTTCACATTCAAAATAAAGGCCTTAAGCTATCTTTGTTAGAATCTATAGAAATCAACAAATTAAAAAAACAGATATAATTCTGAATGACCAACTTGAGACAAACAGTTCTCCCCTCCTCAACCTATGTCATTATAGACTATAAATTTGTAAACCCAAGCCAAAAATAGATTACTTGAGAAAGGCAATTAGCCGCAACAGCTGTAGTGATAAGATTTAAAATAAATTTTGTGGAAGTTTGAAAACAAAGTTTTCAGTGTTTTATTGTTACATAAAATGAATTTCCATCAAGTAACGGTCGAATCCATAAATTATTTAAAACTGTAATTCTTACTCCAATTATCTATCAAAACGGTTTAAAAAAAAATTAATTTTAAGCCTAACTTAGGCCTAAATTTTAGTTAAATTATATTTATAGTGAATCAAACCTACTTACCCCACAATATTTTTAAATGCATACTAAGTTAGTATGTATAATTTCCAGTAGTTAACTAGTAGAAAACACGATGATTTTCTAACAGACAAAATGTTAACCTAAGTATGTGTCTGTGTAATGTGCAGACAGTAGAAAAACTGACAGGTAGTATGTATCGCCGCCACTTAATTGATATTTTGTTAGAAGTAGGTACTATTAGACCTAATAAGTCCCCAGACTTATTTAAAAGACTATTTAAAAGACAGTAGATTTTGTTACAATAAATGGTTCATGTGAACGAAGCTCTAGACATAACAAATGTACTTTTAAAAAAAATTGTCAGATCGCCGACGATATATCATCCCTGCTACCAATGTTATCTACCACAAATACAGATTATTGCAAGAGCAACAGTTAGGCGTCTTGTTAAAATGAAACTACTCACGAATAAATAGCTTGTTAGTAATAAAGGGTGAAAATGGGCCGGGATCCCGGACTAAAATACTTTATACATTTTGACAATTGGATATTAATTGAATACTTTTAATATCCAACTTGTGTTATAGTCGTTTAAAAGATAATTATTTAAAATAATTTATTAAAATTTAATTAATTCGTATTTAAGGGTTTACCGATCTTTGCGAAAAGTATAACACGACTGGCAGAGGTGGGCCCTCACGTTTGACCCAAGTTCTAAATTCATATATTGGAGCAATGGTTCAAGAAATTTTGTCCCATAGCGGCGACGTTTTAAAGTTTTCTGGGGATGCTTTTATAGCCATGTGGAAAGAAACAGAACATCTATCTTTGCGAGATGCAGTGCACGAAGCATTGGATTGTGCTTTGGTTATACAAAAGACTTATGGAACTTATCAAACAGATGTTGACGTTGTCGTTAAAGGTACCTTTTAACTTATTGCAGTATTATATACAGCTAAACAACACTGTTATAATTATATAGTAATAAGTAAATCACATTTTTTCTAACCTATTATCTCAATTGGGAATATTAAACGCAATCATGTCAAAATTATTATATTTATTATTTTTTTATAGTTAGATAGGTATATTATTTTATATTAGACTCCAATATACTTCATAAAAATATACGTATATGCAGAAGTGATTGAAAGATATGTCTAAAATTAGTATGGAGTCCTTATTATTATTTAATGGAATTAAAAATATTTGACTAAAAATACCGAAGTTTTTTAGGCTGTTAAATTCTAAGATATATCTACTATTTGTAAACAAAAAAGTGTAACCTCATTGGTCAATTCTTGTATAAATTATTTAAATTATTTTTAGATTTTGAATTTCTGACCTTTTGTTTAAATTATTATCACTTTTGCTAATACAAACCATTTTCAAAAAAGTTCTTTTGAATTTATTACTTTCACTACATAAAATTTTAATATTATCAAAATCCATAATATGGTCTTTGTCGATTACATGCTCTGCCAAAGCACAAGATTTGAAAGATTTCTTCCGGTCTCACCAACATACTCAGCTTCACATTGAGTACAACTAATGCTGTATACTACATTTGTTTTATCTAATTTGTCTATAGGATACTTAGTTTTGGAATATAAAGATGAAGTGGTTTTGATGTTCTTCGTTGCTATTTTTATATTGTTCGTTGCTAATTTAGTTGTTAATGATGGTATAAAAGGTAGTGAATGATAATAGATGTTCTGATTGTTGGATACAATGTTCTGAGATTTAGCAAAAAATAGTGTTAAGCTATTTATATTAATAAAATTAGAAAAAAGCATCCTATGTAGAATATCTGGAGGATAAGAGTTTTCAATTAAAATATTTTTTAACAATTGAAGATCTTCTTGTAGGTAATCTAGATGAGAAAGCTTTAAAACACGTTCTTTTAATCCTGTTATAAGGTTCATTTTCATCTTATTTGGATGATGAGAGTTATAGCTTATAAATCTATTACTACATATGGGTTTTCTGAACCACCTGGTTTTCAACATATTGTCTGTGTTTCTTACAATTCTCATGTCAAGAAATGGTAGAGAAATATCTACTTTTTCCTCAACTGTAAATTGTATATGTTGATTATAATTGTTGAAAATGTTGACTCTTTCAAGAATTTTGTGTTTAGGACGTGATAAAACTAAATCATCCACATATCTTTTAATAAACGGAATGAAAAATCAATTGAATTTATAAATAAATTTTAATATTGACAATTACAAATAAGTCTAAATGTCATAAATACCAACTTAAAATTTTTTATTTTTGACAATTACATTGCTAAAAATAAAATTTTGTTTAAAAATTCTTTTTTGTTTAGTAACAAAAAAGAAGAAGATTTATTCACCATTGATAGATGCCTGAAAAAATGTAACAAACACATAAAAAATTAAATCAAAATGTGTTATTTTACTGGTTTCATATATAAACTACATAGAAATAAGATAATTATAAATTTTGCTTAGATTTTGAATTTCTTACCTTTTGTTTAAATTATTATCACTTTTGCTAATACAAACCATTTCCAAAAAAGTCCTTTTAAATTTATTACTTTCACTACATCAAATTTTAATATTATCAAAATCCATGATATGGTCTTTGTCGATTACGTGCTGTGCCAAAGCACAAGATGGTTTCTTAATTCTGCAATCACTTTTGTGAGAAAGAATGCGATTTGAAACATTTCTTCCGGTCTCACCAACATACTCAGCTTCACACTGAGTACAACTAATACTTTATACTACGTTTGTTTTATCTAATTTGTCTATAGGATACTTAGTTTTGGAATATAAAGATGAAATGGTTTTGATGTTCTTTATTGCTATTTTTATATTGTCAATAACATTTAGTGTTTATATCAATTTAGATGTTAATGATGGTATAAAAGGTAGTGAATGATAATAGATGTTCTGATTGTTGTATACAATGTTCTGAGATTTAGCAAAAAATGGTGGCAAATGCAATGCTATTTTATTTAGTGTACATGAGCAAAATACTCAGCACCCTATCAATAGTCGCAATGATAATGATACACAGGAACTCCAAACAATAATTCAAGCTAGCATGAATTTCAATGAACTTAAAATATTTAGGCTTGGACAACCAGCACAAGGTTAAAATCGTCCGATTAAGATTACACTTAAAGATGAAAATAACGTCTCAGCATTAATCAGACAATCCAAGGTTCTAAAAACTAGTATCTACAGCCATGTGTCAATTTCATATGACCGTACGAAACAAGAAATTGCATATAACAAACAATTAAAGGAAGAATTACAAGCTAAGAACGCTAACAATACAGGACAATTCAGAATTAAATACTTGGCCGGCATACCAAAAATTGTTCGTTTAAATAGATAGGTCCCAACAGTTCCACAAGCCAAGATCTTCAGGTTTACTATCAAAATGTGCATGGTTTGGATTCCAAAGTAATTGATTTTTACTCTAGTGTTAGTGAATATGAATTTGATGTCATTGCTCTACCTGAGACTTGGCTCAGCTCTGATGTTATTAGTTTAAAATTGTTTAATGATGACTATTAGGTTTTCAGAAAAGACCGAAAGTTCGATGTAGTTAATACATCGACTGGTGGAGGTGTACTTTTGGCACTCTTGGCAGTCAAATTTTGAGTATGTTGTTGTAGAATTCTCAACATTCGATTTACATTTTCCATTAGTTGATTTGTGGCTTGTTGAGTGTCGTACAGGAAATAAAAATGTTTTATGCTGCAGTTTTATATATTTCTGACAAATTAAAGTTAAATGATTTTGAATATTTTTTTGAAATTATAGACCAACTTGAATTATTTAATGACACTGTTATTCGCCTCGGTGACTTTAACATTCCAAAGTATATTGATCAAAATAGGTCTGATGTGAAGATTTCGGCAGTGTTAGACTTCATGTTTTTGTTTAATTTTAATCAGTAGAATCAGGAGAGAAATAATTTAAATCGATTGTTGATTCCTATTTCAGAAGCCAACGAGTAAACTTCGGGCTTCCTACTAATAGTATTTTGAATAAAAACTTATTTAGTTTAATGTGATTGTTTATCAAGCAAATATTGGTAAGTCGATATCAGTTAAATTAATACTTTCGACAAATAAAATTAGGCCAGTCGTTTTTGGCCATACTTAATATTTTGGCATCCAAAATATTAAAATCAAATATGGCATCATCTTCACAAACAGCTCAACCTAGCTTCGCTGCAGTAACCAAAATAACACAGAAAAAATCTACAACAGCAACATCATGTCCTAGTAGAACTCAAGCCATTGTTATGAACGCTATCCCAGACGTAGTACTATTTGATTACATAAAGGCAATCGGCGAAATTGTTACCCCTAAAGAAATAACCTTTGCTTCACGTATTTCTAATCAACGTATATGCATCTATCTTTCTTCCGTAACCGTAGTAGATAATCTTCTAAAAAATAATCCTACTATTTCGATTAGAAATCAAACAATATCTATTCGTAGACTTATCACTCCTGCAAAGAGGCTACTACTTTCTAACGTGTGTCCTTCGATTCCGAATGCACTCATAGAGCAAGCACTTAAAAATGAACTTGGATTACAACTTGCTTCCCCTATCTCGCATATCCGTTGTAGTTCTCCGGAAGACGAATATGCTCACATCTTCAGTTTTCGACGCTCAGTCTTTGTGATACCAAATAAAGAATACTTTGAGTTAAATACTTCAATTGTAATCTCATATGAAAATACAAATTATAGGATCTTTATTACTTCGGGCAAACTTGAATGCTTTTTATGTAAGCAATCTGGACACACTGCAGACTCCTGCCCTAACCCTCAAGAAATATCTAGCAATCCCTCTTCAAATACAACTTCTAGCCAAAATCCAGTCGATCCTCATTCTAGTATATCTCCTCTTTCACCCTCCACAAAAAAAGAAATCTATTCAAATAACCCACCTACTGACATAACAACCCCAAATGAACAGTCTATAACACCATTATCTGTCCCTTCTAACTCTGGCATAAAAAGAACTCATTCCACTGACACAAGTCTTGAATCACCTTCTCTACTGGTTACCGCTAGCCCCCTAAACTTAAACTCTAATAACACACCAAACACAACAACCTTCGCAACTCCTAAATCAGCTCCTAAAAAGAAAACAAAAACTGATGACAAAGAAATTGGTAAAATTAGTCTATGTGCCCATTCAAGTATTGAAAAATTAATTTGTGCGAATCCAGAAAAATTTTCGTTATCAGCATTACAAATAATTGCCTTCCTAGAAAATTCCTTTGGAAGTAGTGATCCCCTCAAAGAAGCTCATAATTTCACCACGAACATTCATTCTCTCCTCGAAGATCTTACTCAAATATACCAAACTGTATCCGATAGATCACTTAAAAATCGCATTACAAGAATAACGAAAAAGCTAAAACGCACATTAAATTCTATAGACGCTGACGAACTTACCAGCCTTACGTCCAATAATTCATGTGACTCTAACTGCAATGATATCGATCTTTTCTAAAATTACTTAATTAGTACAAGGTAAATTCTTTCTACTAACCAAATAAGTTTTCAAATTCACTATTTTACAATGGAACTGCGACGGATACTATCCGCGCCTTGAACACATTCAATATCTTATATCAATTTACCATCCAGATTTTCTTTGTCTCCAAGAGACTAATTTTAATACAACGAATATTCCTCATCTTAAATCCTTTGAAGGATACCACTTCATTAGAACGAACTGCTTAAGAGCCAGTGGAGGTGCATCTATATTTGCGTCCAGCGAAATCTTCTCAACAATGCTACCATTAATAACGAATCTTGAGGCAATTGCCATAACTACATATTGCCCTAATAAACTAACCATCTGCTCCATATATATTCCCCCAAACCATTCTCTAAAAGAAGAAGAGCTCCTAGA